TGTACAGAAAGTAACACAAAAAAAAAAAAACAAATTTCTAAGCAAACTGTGGAAACCTACTTTTCAATAAAATTAACATTTTTGATACATTAAATTAACATCCTATAATTCATATAAAGATTTAATTCAAAATTTTAACAAAGACTTGAATGAACCGTTTTCAACACAAAGACGAAATATATTTTATCGTGCGGTTTTTTGAATTATGATGTATAAAAAAAAAACAAAATTTGTACTTACAAAAAATCTTTGTATCTTGATTGAAGAAATATTTATTATTGAACTGCGTGCGTGTAACTTCTTTCGTTCATTACGTACATTATGAACTACATTATATGTGAAACCGAACTCATTCGATCGAGATTTAATTCCATATTAGTGTATTAAATATATTTTATATATCTTATATGGTGATTATATATAATCAACTGAAATTTTTATTTTAGCATTAGATGAACATGTTAAAAACTAACATAAATATTATGTAAAAAATTAACAAAAAATAGAAAACTGAAACTTGTAAGCAAATTATAAAATCATAATTCCTTTTAATAAAAATTAGTATTTATAGTACATTAAATTTTATTCTCTAGGATTTATTTTTTAGAATTTACGTTTTAAAATACATTGTTTTATGTTAATTTACTACTTATAAATTATTATTTCAACGCCAAGAGATGTTGAATACGAATTTAACATAAAAAATGGTCAAATAACATAATCATGTTAAATTAACACTAGGATATGTTAAAACAAAGTTCATATGTTCAACACAAAGTTAACAATTGATTTTGAAAAAACAAATATAAAATTTTATGTGTCTCACGTTAATCCACGTCTTCGGCTGTGGAATTTTTAATTAATCTGAAATCTTTTTCGTGTAATAATTGATGCGGTTTTTACAATTTTGTAGAAAAATTAAGTCAGAATATTTTATTTAATATTTCACACAAGAGAATATAATTTGATATTTTGGAAAGAATCTACTAGAGACATGTAGATGTGTATATAGATATTTATTTCACTTCACATCCGCGAATCACAATCATCGGAAAGTTAATTTTAATTATTATCTCGCGTCTTAAGTCTCTTAATTCGAACTCGTTATTCGACATATACTCGCAATTATCTCGCGAACTCGGAAAGAACTCTTATTCGTATCTTTTAGCTCATCCATACTCTGTCATCCATACTCTTTTCGGATTCTGTTTACTCGCGTTCTCCAAAAATCGCGCTGTCCCTTCTATAACGATTACGATATATTTCGATGGCAATCAATTATCGACCAACAATTCGCGAGTATTCCTCAACCTAATTTCAGGATAAAACATGTCAAAGCGACGAATTAATAAAGAGATCTACAGTACGAGAGTCTTCCATTCTAATCGGTCTCTCTTTATCTTAAATGCCGTCGGCACCGGAGCCTTTTGTATCAGTAAATGCGGACGACGCGCCTCGTATAACGAGCCTGTAACAAATCCGACGACGTGTGCCAACGTGTAAACACACTCCACAACACTCGTAGTCACAATCCCTTCGCCCTCGCGCGCAGTGGGGCATCGCCGTCGGGATGATCGCACAATAAAACACTGGCATAATATTTCGCCCGGCTGGTTGAACACCGCAAATACACTCTAGGACCACATGCCGACCCTATTTCGCGCAGGGTGAGAAGAGACGTGGCGGGAAAGGGATGAGGGAGGGAGAGGCGCGTATGTGCCGGGGCGTCAGCGGTGGTAAGTTCGGCGAGCGAGCCCCTGCGATCGCGTGCTGCGGGGACACCCGCGGGCCTTACGTTCCCCTTCGCGGATTAGCCTCGCTACATTTCGTCCCTTCTGTCGATGCGTTACGTCTCGTCATTATGCTTCTAACTCTGCAAACGCAAAACCAATAGCACCTCCACCCACAGTAGACGAATTCGAGGATGAATTTTTTAGAGTATACGGCGAAGTGATACGTCGCGATTCTTTTCTGAAGCTATTAAAGTATTGTGATAAATTTACTTGGTTACTTAATTGTTTTTGCAATTAATTATTTTCATAGATTATTTTTTTCTGAAATATTTTTAATTTTCTAAAACTCTCCGTATCTTGATATTAAATTTTTTGCACAATTTTTGTAACTCTTCGGAGCCGACGCTGACTAAATAATACATCTTCTTGTGAGCCTAATGTAAAACTCATTTTTATTAATTGAAAACAATAATTAATTTTAAGAATCCGAAATAACGTAACTTGCATAAAAAAGAATTAATACTAACGATAAGTGTATTTTAATAAGAATAATTCAAATTTGCAAGCGTAATATAACAAAGCTGAATTGATACTTTTGAAAAAAATATTTATAATTGGATCCAATAGATCTACCAAAAAAGGTTAAAATAAAAAATACATATCTTTGCTAATTTTTTAATAGAGTTTTTGCCTTGACGGAGAAATACACATATGTTGCATTAATATAATCAGGATAGATAATATATACATGGTGTCCAAAAAAAGGTCGGACCCCTGAATATCTCGGAAAATATAAGTTTTACAGAAAAATGTTTCATTTTGTAGACAAAAATTGTAGGATTTAAAAAGATCTATTTACTAATTTTATAATTTTGACCTTGAGTGGCGTCATCAAGGTCAGATCAATGGCATATTGATTTGTTTAAATGAAACGCTTCATTTTTTATTACATATTTCGGATATTTTAAAATACTTAAAATTTGCTAAATTAAAACGAGCAAATAACATAATTGTTTAAAATTGTACATTGAAGGATGCTTGATCTAATTGATTTCGAGATGTATCAAGAGAGTGTCCGCTTTTATTGGGAGCGTACTAGTGCGGACAACTAACACGATTTCGTATAACGTTAAAAGTATATTCTGCAGAAGTACGTTTAAACGTGTATGCAGGGAAGAGAGAAAAGGCTGACTGCAGCTTGCGCGTCGTTTTCGCCGGAGGTCAGACGGCCGAAACGAAAATTGCTCGAATTTTGTTAAGTTTGACAGCAATTACTTTTGATACCCGACACGCGGCTGTAATTGCGTTGGGCCGAGTAGAACGACGGGAGAGGGGTAATAATTCGCTAATATCAATTTCAAATTTCAATTAGTATCATCTCGACGTCCGCCTCTGCTCTTCTCTCTCCTCTCCCCCTTCTCTCTCTCTCTCTCTCTCTCTTGATCTTTCCCTCTGTCCCTCTCTATTCGCGGACCCCACAGGAACACACCATGATCTAAAATTCAATTTGTCCCTTCGTACCGGAGAGCCGCAAAGAGAGAAGGAGAGAGATAGTGTAGCAGCGGACAGATGAAGGGAGAAGCGAGAGATGAAGGGGAGACGTCGTGATGGAGTGAGCGAGATAAACAGCCGTACAGAGATAACGGGAGTGGGCTAACGGCAAGCGCGAGGGGTAGGTGGTCGTTGGTGATGAGGGGGACCGAGGGGGTATAGTTAGTGTATACCGGTTCTCTAAAGCCACTCGCGTGCACGCCGTTATATAACGAGAGAGAAACGGCGGGGCCCCCCGTAGGCACGCGCATGCGCGACATGCCGACCCATTATAAATTGATAACTCCGCCGTTTATTAAGTTCCACGACCGATGCCTGCTTAGGCAAAGAGCCCTCTACGCGCCGCTCTCTCTCCCTCTCTCTCTCTCTCTCATCCCGCGTGCACCAGCTCCTCTCTCTCGCCGATACATACATTATTTATTTACGCGAGTTTACAATCCCTCTAATGGGGATTGGCGTAATCGGCCACCCATCCGTCCCCCCCTCCCCGCGTCCTCGCCCTCGCCAGCTCCCCCGCGCTCCCTTGTATAACCACCCACCCCCGCTGCAGCACGCCGCTGTTGCGCTCCCTCTTAATCATGTTTCACCCCGCTTTCGAAAATCCGCGCATTGCATGGCGAAATCGGAAGTGGCTTCGATGCTCCGTTTTCCAAGGGCCATTGCGATACCCCTGTAGGTGTACACAACGGCGAGTCCAGAAAAATCTGACCGGATGAAGGGTTGAGCTGTGCCACAAGGCGATTAGAGGCATATCTAAATTTAAATTCACGAAAGTTTGTTGAATTATTCGCAATCGTGATAGAAGTCTTATTTTGAACTATATAAATCACAAATTATTGATTTTTTTTTCTTCGAATAGTTTTTATCTTAATAAACCGTTGAAAATACATAAAAATAAAGCTCTATTCTTATTAATACATTGAGAAAAGTGTTTTGTTATACTTATGACTATAATTGCATGATAAAATAAAAGGTTAGGAGCTCCATTTTTATAGTTATTATATAAGTTTTAATTCAAAATTATTTTTATTCCGTCTTGGTTAAAAATATCGGGCACCTTATTAACCATTACTTAAAGTTTCTGCTAAAAAATTGATTTATAATATTTATTGTAAATTATTTCAAGAACCTCTCTTTTAATGCAGGTAAAAAATTCCAAATAAATTAAAGAAATATATAATTACTTAATATTTTTACAGGCCAAGGCTATATTTCGTTTAGTATGTAGAACTGTAAATATAATTATTAATATTGCTAACATTATAGCATAATAACTACAAAAATGGGGCTTCTAATAATTATTTTATCATGCAACTGTAATCATAAATAAATACGAAACATTTTACTCTCATTTTCAATCATGTAATTTATTAAAACGATAAGCGGAAGATACTTACACCAAAGCGCATTTCCACCTTAAAAATACAATTTTGCGACGTAAAAGCCCCTGCAATTGTGGAAAAAAACTCGCTCGAACCTCCGATCCTTTTTTTTTTTTTTCACCGCAGAAGAGAAGAGATCATGAAATCAACTGACACTGACGTGTGGTTGCAGATTGGCGCGGTCCACGCCCACCAGCCGAACAATAACCACCACCAGCACCATCAGCAGCAACAGCAGCAACAGCAACAACAGCCGTCGAGTCAACCGCAGGTACCGGGTGCTGGTGCGGGAGGGGCCGGTGGGCCGGGGGGCGGCGTGGCCAGGGCCGGAGGCATGTTCTGCTACCACTGCCCCCCGGGCCTCCCAGCGCCGCGATTACCGCCATCCCTGGAGTATCCTTTCGCCCCGACTCACCCCTGTAAGTAAAAATTCGATTCCTCCCGCTGCGGGCGCATACGATATCTTTTTTTTTTTCACCTCGCTTTTTCGCCCCTTCGTCGGCTTTCGATCGTGTCTCGATTGACGAAAGGCGTGCCATGCTAAATCGCTATGTAAAATGTTATGAGGAAATTTTTAGATTTATGCGTGGCTATATTCTCGATGAGGAAGAGGGAAAAGAGGCAGTTTCGGACGGCAATCTTTCGCACCGAAAGGTCCCGTGAAACTCCTGGAAGATTTTAATGAAGGAATAGATAGTGAAGACAAAAGAAAATATTACATCCAGATGATATCAGTCATTTGCTAAAACATACATTGGAAAAAAATTTCTGGTTGAAAATGGACGAATCTTCTGGTTAAATTTATTTGAATTTTAGTTAAGGTAACCGGAATTCTGATTGATAGAAAATTTATAGTAAAATCTATTAGATTTTTATTTTTACTTTGTTTAATTTTTTTTATTTATTTTATTTAATTCTTATTTTTACCAGAATAATTATCAGTCAGAATATCTCAACTAAAATTCTAGTATACTTAACTAGAAGGTTCTAATTTGTCCATTTTCCAGTAGAATTACCTAATTATTCAAAATCCACGGAATTATAAAAAAAAGATAAGAAAGAGCATACGCTTCAAAAGAACGTATACATTTAATTTCTTTATAATTAATTACTGTACCAAAATTATATTGTAAAATTAATATTATACAATATTTAAATGATTCACAACATTGAACCTTATTCTCTAGAAAAAATTGCTTTTTTGAGTTATGCCATTATTATAGCAAATAAGCGAAATATACATAAATTACGGATTATGTACAAATATAACCTATCTTTTTATTTTTTCAACTTGAATTTCAAATTAGTAAGTTTATAAAATTTATATAATAATTTTTTTTTGAAAATCCTACGAGAGATTATTTTAATTGGCAACGACAAAAGAAACAACGGCGTGAAGAAAGAAAAACACCTTGAAAGAAAAGAAAAACGTGATGAAGAAAACAAGCGCAATCGAGAGACAGAAAGAGACACCGGGTATACGGTAGCAGGGAAAGAGACTGGGAAGGAGGGAGATGAGGGGGGCAGACTGATTGTACTGGCACTTGCTCTAGCGGAACACATCGATGAAGTTACATTACCGACTAGACCGAGTTACGCAAAGTGGACGCTACAAACTGGACGGCCGCTAAACTTAATTTGCACTTCGAGCCAACTTCCAGTTAAACCGCGTCTCGCCGGCAGTCGAGTCGAGTCGCTACCCAGAACTTTGATGGCAGTTTGCCTATTCACTGATCGTTTTCCAAGTCGCGTCCCATTCCAGATGACAAATTTCAGCCTGGCGCGATCTGTCAAACTGCAACGATCAGTCTGTTGTCTCAACATATCCGGTCAACTACGGCGATTTATCGTTATTGAATTAGAGCTGCAAAAGATTTTATTTCGTGAATATTATAGTTTTGCGGAAAAAAATATTCATGCAATTTCGAAAATTTCCTATTGCTTTTAATTACGACGAATACAATATCAGCGGTTTTCATAATATACGGAACAATTTGTAATTTTGTGTTAAAAATAGTGCTACATTATTAATATATAATATTAAAAGAGAAAAGATTTTTTATATACATATATTATTTTCTTCGATATCTGAACAATTACTTTATCATATATCAATCGGGTTTAGTAATATCGACAGATATTAAATAGATATGTTAGAAGATAACAAATATTATTTAAATAGATAAACACAAAAATAATATTGACACAATTTGTAAACAAACCGTGGAAGCAAATTTTTTTCTGTAAAATTAACATTATTTATAAAATATGTTAAATCAAGACATTTTATTAATTCATCTTAGAATTTACGTTTTAAAACATGTTTTTTTGTATTATTTGTTCGTACTGATAAATTGTGTTATTTTAACACTAAGAAATGTTGAATATCTGAAATAAATAATCGCATTATGTTAAATTAACACTGAAATATGTTAAAAAATCAACGCAAATAGTTAACAAGGACGTGAGTGAACCAACACAATATTTTTTTTATCGTACAAACGTAGTCAAAGGAAAAAAACACGGGTTATCAAATCCAATCATTCTATCAATTCTTTTTTTCGCAAAATGTACATATATACGTTATACATACATAATATTCCAAAAGTTATTGCTATTTACTTCTCGCCCTCTATCGAAATCATCATGAATAAATCCAAGAACGTGAGAAGTGTAGAGGAGAAGAGTCTCCGGCTATTCTTTATATTCTCTTTAAAACACCTATTGAGGTTCATAAATGTGAGAGGCAGTGATCCTTGCTTCTGTCTTTATCTCTCTCGCACTCTGATAGATGATCGAATAAGGAGTCGAGTAGATGGGGGGAAGGGGGTCTAGGGGAATAGTGTCCTCAGGGACGTCCGGGCACCCTTCCAGCTCCCGATTGCTCCCCTCGTCTGTCTCCTCCGGTCCCCGCTGACTCTTTCACCCCCCCCCCCCCCTCTCTCTCTCTCTCTCTCTCTTGGCCTCCTCTACCCCCCGTTGGGATAAACAGATTAGGTAACTACGTGATAAGTCGGTAAGTGGGTTTCCTCGGCCCACGGTCCAGACCCACCGACATTCGCTCTAACATCTAACTACCTCGTTAGCATCATTAGTAACGGTCGGGGTGTCATTAGATTTCGTTCTCTACATGTAGTTTTTCCACGGGTCCACCACTGGTCCCCCTCCCCCCCCCCTCCGTTCTCCTGGACTGCCTTCGAGACCTGCAGTTTGTAAGTGCAACGAATACGGATCATGGATCGTGACGCGCGTTTGAAATAATTTTGAGTCGCTCGTCAACACGTCGATGAACGTATGTGAAAATGTTCAGTCAAAGATGTAGCGAGTAAAATTGCAGCTATTTCACGTCAATCCAATTTTTCTCTCGAAAATGAGACAATGTATATACAGAAGAATATTTTTCGTTTTCCGATTTGTCAATTCAAAATAAATTTTTTTTACCATATATTTTATATCTTATTTTAAATTGATTTATAAAAAAATTGATTACACATGCCATATTATATTAGACTAAACAAATTTAAACAAACAGATGAAAAGATAAGAGCTGTACGTATAAATAAGAGAACAAAATCGCAGTAGTTTCAGGCAATGATTTCTACATTAAAAGTATGTTAAATCCTATTTATAGAAAAGGTATGCGATGTTACTTCTCGTAAGGGGAACACGCGTGAATGAACGATGTTCCATGTTTTCCATGCGCGAAAAACAGATCGTCTCTCTTTGCGTTCTCTGCAGGCAAACGAGCGTTAACAAAACGACAAAGTGTATCGCGAATAGGAGATGCACGTGAATCCCAAGCGCAAAAGTCGCGCAGGTCTCCTATCCCCTCTCTTTCCCTCTCTTTCTATCTCTTTCTTCCGTACCCGGGATGCTACTAATAAATTGGATCAGACCGACTCCCGATGAGTTGTACGAGTTGTCTGGATCCGGGCTTTACTTCGGACCGACTCTAATCTAAGATCTTGAGTGGATTTCAGTTTGGGGCATCGGCAAATTTATTTAGCCGCCGCAGTCGTCGCCCGATTCACTTCTCTATCTTCGTTTCACTCTGCAGCCGCAGCAACAACGACAGTCATTGCTTATCGTTATGACAAGAATGGGAATCAAGAATTTTACGTATGATATAGGGTTTATATTCGCAAGATCACTGTATAGTTTCGTGGGTCATTAATTTGACATCACACACGAATTTCTTTTCTTCTAAAATCGAATGCTGTCGTTTAAAAGATTCGACATATGTACAAAATATGTCGATAAATTGAAGGGTTCTCACAAAAACTAAAGAAATCCGTCAAAAAGAAATCTGGGTTTGGGTATCAAATCGTTTTCCGTCAGTAGCGCCACAGGTACTGAAAAAAAATTTCTGGTTGAAACTCGATCTTATATTTGCCGTTTAAATGTGTGGTACACATGTATGTATTTCTCAATGTATTTACTAATCAATTTTATTCTGGCAAGTATCGAACGAGAAATATAAGATTGAGTTTAATATTTGCAAAGAATATTTCTGTTATAAACGCAATTTGAAAAAGTTTATAGTAATAAGTAAAACAATAATTGCTTTTGTAAACAATATTACTTTCTTCGTCTTTATCATTTTCATACAATACTTTTTATGAAAGACATCCTCGGGACGTTCTTAAACCACTTATGGACGTCCTGTGGACGTCTTTAGAACGTCTTGGAGACATCCATTGTAAGTAAAACTTACATGTATGAATTATTAATGTTATAAAAAATATATGTAACATAAATATATGTACATTGTTGAAAAATTTGTGTCGAATATAACACATTTTACATATTCCAAACGTTCCACATCAATTTTTGTGTTTATTTAACATAAGATAAACATTGTTTTTAGAAAACAATACAAATATGATGTTAAAAAATGATCAGGAAAAAAGTAATACTGACACAGTTTGGAAACAAACTGTGGAAGTATATTTTTTCAGTATAATTAACATTTATGATATGTGTGTTAAATTAATACGTATTTCATTTATTCATCTTAGAATTTTAAAATACATTATTTTTTGTGTTGCTCATTTACTTACTCATAAATTGTGTCATTTTGATATTAAAAAACAGTTTTTAAATATCAGTTTAATACAAAATATTTAAATGACATTATGTTAAATTAACACTTAAATGAGTTAAAAAATTCAACACAAACAGTTAACAGAAATGTGAGTGGACCGTTTCCAACGCAAATATACAATGTTCTTTATCATGTATTATGAACATGAGGTAAATAGATAATAAAACTTTCACAAGAACTAAAAAATGTTCACAGATTTTTTATTTTCCTCTCTAAATCTTTCGGTCCTCAAAATATTACGTAATCAAAACTTAAAACTTTGTTCTTACATCTATTTCTATATCCTGAGAAAACTTAGCATATTTCTATACAATAATTAATTCGAACATAAAAAGTTTTGGTTGAAAATAAATATTGTTTGGTTTTTACGAAAAACCGTTCAATTATTGTTATCCGATATATTAAATCGTTGCTTCTTAGTTGGATCTACAGTAATTTTCTGAATGGCTACGCGAAAAACAATCGCGATTTCATACGGGTATCTATTAAAACAAATCCATATTGGTACGATAATCGTGCAGGCGGGAGCGGAAACAAAGTTTTAAGTGCATCCACAAGTCCACAACGTTGTTAAACGCCCTGATAAAATACGGGCGGTCCGGAAAGCTCGAATCGTTTATTTTCGCGTGGGTTGGTTTAGAACGAAAATCCTCGCGGATCCTCATTGATATTAATTTTGCAAACGATATGGGAGATCGCAGGGAGACCGTAGCGTATAATTGCACGTCCGTGACAGTTATGAAAGTTCAGCGGCATCGAGGCGAAGTATCTCGACGCGTGCCTGTAGATGCAACCATATGTGGCTGTAGGTATATCGTTGATGGTGCAGCAACACCATGACACGTTCGTCGTTATTCCTCTATCTCGTTTTCCCTCCCTCTCTCTTTCTCCCGCTTTCTGTCGCCGTTATTATCCTCTGTGTCGAGAGGATGAAAGGGAGAGAATGAGCGCGAAAAAGAGGCACATAAAGGGAAGGAGAGGAGCCATTGTGTGCGAGTGAAAGAGAGACGGTCGGACGGCGGAGAGAGAGTGGCATGAATTTTTATGAGCTTAGGAAATTAATTTGTGTTTTTCGCTAAGCCCCGGCTTAGCGCCGCGGTAATTAATTGCGCTGATTGCTCTGCATCATTGATGAGCGGTTCCGGCCGCTTCGTAACGTCTGCTCCCACCTCGCGTCTCGTTGTATGCGCGCGTATCCGACCGATACGATGCCTTTATATCGGCGCTTCACTTTTCGATCCTTCGTGTGCGCGCGCGATCACAGTTAACCACGTTTTGCTCAACGTTTTTAATTAACATGCTCTGTCTGCTCGTGTAATTACGGTAGCAAAATAAAACGTGTATGCCGCGACCGTATCAAAATACAACAGAAAAACAATATAATCGTATATTAATAATCAGTTTCTCTGGTGAAATGTTGAATTGAGTATCAAATGATAAAATTTATAAATCTTTTTGCTGATGAAGTATTTGAATATATTGAGGGCAACTCAATCAAAATTTTAGTTAAGATAACCAGAGAATGCTGTGATATAATATTTCCGATAAAATTTTCTGGAATTCTTATTTTTACCAGAATATTTAATTATTTTAATCAAAGAGAGAGAGAGAGAGAGAGAGAAAATTATAGTTATCTCAAATAAAATTCTAGTAAATTTAATCAGAAAATTCTGATTCGTCCATTTTTCATTAGAATTATTATTTAATCTAATCAGACCATTTTTCTCAGTGTGATAATGTAGAGCCCCATTTTTTGTTGCGAAATATTTTAGTTTTTAGTTATATTTAAATCGATAATATATAGATAACAATAATTTATTAATTTAAATTTAATATAAAACACATTTTAAATGATTAAGACAAAATGGAAAAAATTGTTCAAATGGAAATAGATGTGACTATTTCAATATGATAAAGTAAGCCGCTCCATATTTTTATTCTGAACTGTTGATCTGGATTTTTCAGGTTTATTTGGACCTTTCAACCTTCATAGAAAATTATACTATTATATTTTTTTTTTAGTTCCGAAAGGTGAAAAGTCGATATGTTTTTTGATACAAAGAAATTAATTATTACACTTGCTAAATTATTAAATTCAGTTAAATTAGATTAAGTAAACGAATGAGCGTGCGTCTGTTTCCTATATATACGTACAGCTGTTATTTTATATAAAAACCTGATACAACTTATTCGCACTGATAAGCACTAATACAAACTACCGTGAAAAAGTAAGAAATTATGTTGATCATTTTATTTTGCAATAACGCTTGCCGTATAAATTTGAAAATTCCGCGAGATTGTCAGTAACTCACAAGTTTCTTGAAGTTTCCGAGTTTCGCAAACCCTAGTCAAGCACAGGCAAATATGCGGAGTACCGAACTAAGTTCTCCTAGAACTTCGCAAATTCGAATCTATCAAGAATTAAAAGGTGAAACTTCGTCGAACTCGTTTCTTTTAAAAGAGAAATATTTTCTTTTTATATGGGGACACAACATATATTATCAATATTAATTACCAAAACGTATTGTATAATTAAACTAATAAAAATTAACTCAACATATTTTTTAATACTTAATTAGATATGTTAATATCTATTGTTATATTGTGTAATTTATTTTTTTATTATCATTCAATTTGTTATTATTATATACTTATATCAACATTGACAACAGCTCTTAGCGTTTAAAGTTTCAGAAAATATAAAATTTGCGCCAATTATCGTTGTATTAAGAATTATAGATGTGAAATATTCTAAAAATACTTTATAGAATTTTTCCCGGATTCTCGTTACAGATACTAGTTACTCCGCCTATCACCCAGCGCTGCACGGAGTTGGAGAGGATTCCTTCGTGCGAAGGAAGCAGCGTCGAAACAGGACAACGTTCACCCTTCAACAACTGGAGGAACTCGAGTCCGCCTTCGCGCAGACTCACTATCCAGACGTCTTCACGAGGGAAGATCTGGCCATGAAAATTAACCTCACGGAGGCTAGAGTGCAGGTGAGTGTGATGATCTCGCTGAGATCTTTTTTTTCATCGTCGAATTTGGCCCTCTCTAGTCCTAATTCAATTGTCCTTATGATTACGTTTCTTAACAATAAATAAGGTAACACTCACAGAAAGGATTTCTAATATTGAGAAAATAAAAGGTCTTGACGTACTTTATATTAGCTCAATTCTATACATTATGATTATAACATTATGACTATATAAAATTAATCAATAATTTTTATTCCACTCTCTCGAATAAAATAAAATCGACATATTGTTTTGTGAGACAAGTATAACATATAAATTTAGGACTTTATACATATTCTTACATTTAGAATAAATCTATCCAGTTTTGAGTCAGGTTGCCATGGCATCAAGACAGCGAAGCTCTCGTGGTGTACCGCGTTAGGTGAGAAACACGTGGAATTAGAGTTCGAGTTTTAGCCAAGCCCAGTTTTTCATTATCGAATAATGTAAAATTACTAACATTATTTTTATAAGAATAGAATAAGAGATTTCTTTTAAATCGGTGAAGAATATTGAGTCCAACTTATAAATTTTTCTATTAAGATAATTAATGGGAAATCGTCAAGAATACTTTATTTTAGATTTTAGAAATTTTTTATTTAAGAATAAAATTCTTCTCTGTGTGTGAAAAGTAAATACGATTTATTTTATATCCATCTTATTATTATATATTCTAGACCGTGGAGCAATATCAAATATAGAAATTTTTTCTGTGAGTGAAATATAAGTTCTGATGCCAGTGTTTTAAATTAAAAAAAAAAGTAAAAACGCGAAATAATATGAACCAGGATGTTAATTGGTATGCAAATATTTTCACATATATTAAAATAATTTAATAATTAATCGTGTTATTCGCAAAAGACAATATTGAAAATTCGTATATATTTTGACTTCTTTTAAATAAAAGTCATTATCATCGAAAAGAATTAGTATAAAGATAGCGCAATTGATATATCCCTTAAGTTTTGCAATCCTACAACCTGATTAGACTTTTTTGGAATTATGATTTTTCAAGTTATATTAAAAGCAGCCGCGTGGGTCGCTGAATTATTATTAACATAATTATTTACTTTTTGTTCACTTTTATTTCGTCAGTTCTCGTAAAGTATCTTGCCGCACGTAATATAATAATGTTTGTAATCCGATTAAATTACGAAAAAGATCCATTAGAATAAGGGAGATAAACAAATTCATGGCGGATGCACTGTGTGCATTATATTTAAGGATATATTAAAATAGGTTACTTGAAAGTATGCTAATCACGTTGCATAATCACGTTTATTCGATAACATGAAAGCACGTGCATTAAAACTTCACAGAATGTTCGCATGCTCGCGTCCGAGCATTGGCAGCAGCGAGCTTAATCTTTTAATGCGTCTCAGCGCATTGAGATTGGATTCCGCGTTTTAATGCGATGAGAAAATTACGCGCGGCAACCCGATAATTTTTTGTCCGCCTTCGCAGCGCTAAGTAGAGAAATTCCCGAGAACATTTTTCGCGCTGCATGTTTTCGCTGTAATATTTCATGGAACACACAATAGAATGTATTACCCGCCTATGTATCCATTAGTATTCAAATGATTATATCGTGAAAAAATACGCATAAACCGGATTTCTGCAATCCAAAGCGGAATTTGGACGATTTTTTTTTTCTCATTGATTTTTGTCCTCTGCCACTCTCGGATTTAAAAAATTGCCATATTTATAATTTATCGTACGAAAAATAACGCGCCATATATTTTATGTATGACGTGTGTATACGCGACATAGATGAAGAACGCGCAAAATTCAGTCAGGATGAAAATATTTTAGATTCAATATAACCGATTTGAAAATTAAAAAGAAAATCTGTATAAAAGGGACCGTAACTATGATCGATTGTCTGCGGCCGTACGGTGTTGCCGCAAGAGCGAAAGCGTATGTACCGGAGGGGCGAACCGAGCAGGGCAGAAGGACGGAAGCGGGGGGCCCTGGACCCCCAAGAGGCGCGCTGACACCCTCGACCTGACGTAATCTTCTGACAGAGTAAGCCGGTAATCTCCGGGATTACTTTGTACTCCTGGCTACCGTCCTCACGGCCATATTTACTCACGCCGTTGTAATTCGCGCTGAGAATCCCTGCAACGTAACAGCGTTTCCAGCCTAAAATCCTGTCGGAACATCTGCAGAGGATATCTGATTACCAATGGCGGCTTTTGATTTCTCGGCGGCCGCCAAAGTGCATTTCCGTCAAGTTTCAGATGATACGTTTTGACAGCGCCTTTCGCAATTTCCAAGTCAAACATATCTCGATAATTACACAGAAAAAAAAAATGATTTTGCTGAAATATCTATTTGGGTAAATATTTTATTTCGGTATAGACATAGATTTGAAAATAATTTTTGTTGAATTTTTTGTCAAAATATAATTAGGAAATTGAAGCATAATGAGCAATGCTACAAAAAGTTCTAACATTCTAACAATCAACTTTATACCTATATAATTATAATATTTTGATAATCTAATAAAATTATTTTTAAATATTTTAGCAAAACGTTCTTTTCGTCTAAAACTCCTATATTCTTAGCATTATTGAATCTATTTATTACTACGATTTTTTCACGCAACGTAAAAATAATTATTATTAATTGTTACTTTTTATAGTGGTTGACAAATTATAGATAAAGTGTTTAATATTAAGTGCAAATGTTCTTGTTCACAATGCGTATCGTTACTTTGTAAGATTGATCAGTGAGACAAAAGAACGTTCCGGACGTTCTACAACGGTGAAAGAAGACGAATTGCAAGTATCGTTTAATGAATATTCAACCCAATCGACTTGTAAACATGCAACACAATTGGGAGTTGATCATTCAACAATTGTTCGTCGTTTAAATGCAATGGGAAAAATCAAAAAGTATGAAAAGTGAATGCCATGAATTGTCCTAACTGGCAATGTCAGGCCACATGTTGGTGAGGAGACCAATTAAAGAAATATTAGAATTGGATTGGGATGTTTTCCTGCACCCGCATTGCTTCAGTAATCTATAAACTGTAATATTTAAAACATAAGCATAAAAATAATAACCCTAAATGAAAATTTTATTTATTTTATTTATTCTGCGTCTTTTAGTCGAACAAATTAATTGTAAAATTTATAAATAATGAATATAGCAATGAATATAGTAAAATATAGCTCGCGTGTCCCGATAAAATCCGAAAGAATCTCGGCGCTTCGCCCTCTCATCATTAATATCCTGACTCGCGAAGGATCCTCGATCACAAAGTTTAAGAGGCAGCCCGGCATGCATTGTGCGAATTTACGGGGAGGCAGCAATCTTCACGAGAGAGAGAGAGAGAGAGAGAGAGAGAGAGATACGACAGTGTACACACGACAATGAAAGAGACAGAGGGGTGGCGCGAGGCGGCGAAGAACAGAGGGGGCGAGGCGGTCGGTCTGGCTGTGACGCAATTACGGCGCAGACTCATTGTTTCATTAGCGAAGACAAAGGGAATCTGGAATAATGAACAAATAGGCGCGTTTATGTAGCGCCCGTCCTCTTCTCCAGGCTCCAATTAGAACCTCCTAGAGGGGGCGGGGGAGGGGGGACAGGCGTGAGGGAGTCGAAGGAGGGTCCGTTGTATCGCCGAGGCACGTACCGTATGACATCCTCACAGCGAGCGCGCGTATACACAATATTTCCTCGCACACGGACCTTGTATATGATGCGTGTGCGAGGCCGACAATTACCGGCGTGCGTGAATTAGACGCGTCGCGCCGCATCAAACGCCGCTCGCACCTGCGCTCGTGCGACGCGCTCTGGACCGTGCACGGATGCTGGACACCGCGATTACGTTGGCTCTCTCCTATATAGCTATTTTCGGTGATTGGATTTCGCGGAGCTCTCCTCTCTTCTCTTCTCATCATGTAGTTATCCACGCTTCTTTGGACTTGTAAAATGCAGAAAATTTTTCACGGTACCATGTATACCTCGAGAGAAATAGTTCGGTATAGAATATTTATCGGTATAGCTCTATACCCGCGATAGTTGTGACTCGAAAATATTTGAATCCACAAATTGTGTTGGAAATTGAGAAACGAGCGGAAAATTTCTATAAACGTGGATTTATTGAAAGTGGACATTTTTCAATTTACGGGCTGTTGGAAAAAACAGCTTTTCGTGAATTAATCAGTAGTTATCGTTGTCACGCAGCGTTTTAAAAAGCATGTCGCACGTGATACGTGCGATCGGTAATCCTGCGACAAAGAGCGACACATTCGTTTAACAAGAGGGTGCAGCCGATTAAAAACGTTTTACGCCCATTATCAACAAATTTCGGATTAAATTTGTATTGAAAAAAAAAAAAAAGCGGAGAGGAGAGAAAGATATCGCGCGAGGGTGCGAAGGAAAACGGCGCGGTCGGTGGTCCCTGCGAAACCATGGCTTTGTTCTCAGCTATTACTCCCCCTCGTTCGCCCCCTCCTGTAACCCTTAGGATATTATTATATCTCCCCGTTTGTCGTTTCTCCTCCATCCTCTCGCGATGTTCGAGGTGGCGGTAGAGAGTCGTACCTATCGTATTTATTTTATTAAAACCATTTCCCGTGCTTCCTCCTGCGAAAGCTCCGCGCTCGAATATAAGATAATTATTTTCCAGAGCCATTATACAGAATAGAATGTACCAATCCTATTTCAGCTCTTTTTACTAAGGACTTTTTATGAAATCTTTTTTTACGAATAGTCTGTTCTTTTTTCGCAATTTAATACAGTCTTGACCATAAATGTAAAACACCTTCATATATTAACGTTTTATAACAAAAATAAACTAAAAAGGTTTTATTTAAAAAATAATATTTATTGTTTTAATATCTTATTAACTTTTTTTACTATCTTCTAAGAATTTTTTTGACCACCTTTTCTAAGAGAAAATTCACTACGGTACTAGTAAGTTATCTATGTCTCTTATGCTACACTCAGAGAATTAAAGAGACATCGTGACAGCAACTATAAATGAGACAACTACACAGACAAATGTTACAGTTGCTACAACCGGAAATAATGATAATTTTCGCTTACCAATACATTTGGTTGTAATATCCATAAGATGAATATACATTTTCTAGCTGATATGCCACAATCTTACTTAGAAGATTATCACAATTGTACTATACTTATAACCAAAATATGAAATAATGAGTGACTTTTAATCGTGGCAGCAGTAAATGTTTTCTCCGTATATACAAATTTTATATGTAGAGTTAATGTAGTTAAACTATTATAGTTGAATAAACTGTTTTTTGTAGTATTTATTACAAGTATAAAATAGTTTATTCAAATATGTACATTACTTCTACGCATATAAAACTTGTGTAATTGTCACCATTATATACGTATAGTTGCCATCACTATATTTTTTTTAAGTGTATGTGTATTGTTTTATTCATCTTGATCTTTTTATAAAAATTCACGAGATCTATTCCCTACAATACGAAATACTGCAATATTGCAGCAATATTATCCCGTAAATTCCACACTGGTGCGAAATCCGCTCCATCAAAAATATTTTTTTATTTTAACACATATTTTAACGTATTTTTGCTATACATCGTCATGATAAAATTAACGTTTAAAGATGCAAAAGTCAAATTCGCATCAATGCGGAAGTTGCGGTTGCATGGTCGGAGTGTGGAATTTGAGGGTTATTTTGAAAGATGGCAATATTTCATAAAAATTGCTGCAATATTTTACAACATTTCAGTAATTAATCCAGTTTTATTTGCTAACATATTACTGCTTAGCATCATATTCTAAAATACGTACGTTAAAATTGTATAAAATAATTTGAGTATCTAGAAAACATCCATAACGTCTTCAAAAGATTCGCCAACTCGTTTTGTATATACCTTCTTACAGACCTTCCGGACATTTTCTTCTTACGAGAAGCGTGTCCATCTTGCGGCGGAACCGCGTATTTACTTCTTGAATTGTAATGTTTCAACAGTATACTACAATATTTCCCACAAAATATTAAAATTACAGTATTTCACAATATTAATGCGATATTTTTAATATATGTAAATTTCAATATTGCTACAATATTTCTGCAATATTTTGTACTGTAGGGAATGAGAATGTATGCATGCGCGTGTGTATGCCATACTTATTGCTAATGAGATTGTCATTTTGTATCATCAAGAAAAAATTTTCATGAAAATTCCTGATTTTTAAGAGAAAAAGAGAAATCCCCCCAAAATTACAGGTTTTCTAGGTTTCCCTGGGTAATAAAACATCCTGAGTTTTTCTGTTAGTTGGCGCGTACGTGCAACGAGTGAGGATTCCGCACGAGAACCCGGTTATTGTGCATCCATTGTCGGGACAAAAGTCAACGGTGGAGAACCGCTGGGTGTAATAAAGTCTATTTCAGCCGGTATTATGTCAAGTTAGCCTCGTTAGCCGAACTCGAGCTTTTTAAAAAACACTCGGTCGCCGTGGTTGCTGTCGGCTCGTTGAACATGCACGGCGGAAAGTGCCCCTCTCGGTCACCCAGCCATCCCTCCCTCAACGTCCGCCAACCAGCCTGCCGCACCCTCGTGCTTTTCTCTGCCTCAGAACGCCACCTTCTCCCTTCCTCCACCTACCCGCACATGCAATTATCTTTGCACATTTGCGGACATTGCGGAGTGTCAGATACGACCGCGTCCGTCTCATTTTTCTCCTATCCGTCCACCCCTCCCGTCGTTTCTATATGACTTTCGCGAGACTTAACCCTCTGGTCTGCGCGCGTGTAGTATACTTATAGTCGGATGACTGAGATGTCGAGAATATTGAATCAGAGAATTATGCAAACTTCCGCGAAGCTGGCTTTTGAGAAGTTTAACTTCCCCGGATGCACGTATATCGCAATATGATATTTATTCATATTTAGCATAACCCAAAAATTGTATTATGAAAAAGACATAAAACATTAAAGACACAAAATAAAAACGTAGAACCGCGTAGAACGAAAATTGTTATACATTAGGAGATATTATGCGTGTGTTAACACCAAAACTATTTTTATGTTATATAACATTTACGCATTGAATAATGACTTGGAAATCAGTAAACCAAACATCAACAGTGTATGCATATTATATGTATATTATATTTTTTTTCCGCGCAAGAAAAGTTCTTCGAGCCATTATAAAAAAAGTTAATTCAGTGTAACTTCTGCATCAAAGTTACGCTCCTAATTATTGATCCTCCGAGGCTGAAACGTAACGTTAATCCATGCTAACCGCGACGATCGTAATTTGCAGGTGTGGTTCCAAAATCGGCGGGCGAAATGGCGTAAGAGCGAACGTCTAAAGGAGGAGCAACGCAAACGCGAGGGTGGAAACGGCGGTGGTGGCGGCGGCGGCGGCGGCGGTGGCGGTAACGCGGAATCCTCCGCTCTGACCGCACCAACGTCTTCATCGGCGGGCCCGAGTCCCACGGGGAATGACCCAGAGGGCACAACGACGAGCAGCAGCGCCGCCGACACGGAGGACGCCGTGGCGGAAGGTGCCGGTGGCGGTGGTGGCGGCGGTGGCTCCAGGAGCCCCAGCACGACTTCCGCCTCGGTCAGTCCTCGGCCCCAGCCGAGTCAGCCGTCTCTAGGTGGCGTCTCGACGCCACCACCGACCCCCATAAGAGCGCCGCCGCCGCCACCGAGCACCGTGGGGGGCCTTGGGCCACCCGCTGAGAGGTGAGTTCTTAGCTTCGTTTGTATTTACGTCTTTAGGAAATATCTTCCTCCTTCCTGAGTTTTCCTCTCTCTACTTCCCCCCCGCCTCGGTTCCTCCCACCTACCCCTTATAAACTCTCTCGGACGATTTCAACGGGTAAGTGGGTGCAAGCGCCGCTGAACACCGCCGGCCGGATGCTCGATACGCGCCATTAAACCACTCTTCGTGACGGCATTGCTAGCCCCGACGCCCGCCGGTTAAGCCGCTTCTTCTCTCAGTAACTCCCCTCTCCCACCTTTCACCTCTTCCGTTATAGCCACTCGTATAATCGCGATAATCGTCGCCTCGTTAAACTGCAGCTTCCACGGGAGCCCAGCGACGGTGGCGGGGACGACAAAGCGATGCGCACACCACTTTTCGCTCTGAACTTTTGTCTCGTGAAACTAAATGGCGTCTTGTTGTTTATGACTCACATGTCGACAGAGAGAAGCGCCAATATGACGTGCTAAAGAGTTTGCGACAGATAAAAAGGTTAAAGAACTAGCGACGGTTTTTCGCGGGGAGATTTTGTATACATAACACATTTTGTATATTATATGTTAGTTATGAGCAAGTAGATTAAAACGTTTTCAAATTATTGACTTTTACGAATGCAAATTGTTAGCCATATTAGTACAAACTTGGCTAAAAGTATAAAACATCTTCACAAATCGATATAAACGTTTTATATTTAACGAAAAATGAATGAAAAAATAGTTTTGAAAACTAATATTAATAACTTTAAGTTACCACACTGGTATGAATTCACACCAACAAAATTTTCACTTCGCGCAGTAACTCTTTAATTTCTTACTTTCTTAATTTGTTGCAATAAAATATTATTTTTGTTTAATTTTATTATTACCAATGAGTTTCCCCCCGGGCATAATTTTACACCAGAAAACCATATAATCGAATTACTTTTGTTTTCTTCGTTTCAAAGTCACACATAACGAAAGATGAGAAATTCGCACCACTGTGGTAACTCAGGATTAATATTTTGTTAGTTTTCCTTTGGATTTTATTAATAGCTTTTCCAAGAAAATACAATAAGTCGAGAGTGTTTTGTGTAATATTTAAGGTTATATATATATATATATATATATAACATTGCGCGTTTTTGAAGAATAATCATTATACCATACCTAGGTATATTTCTTTCATCTATGAGTTTTTACATAATTTAATACACATTCTAATAAGTATCGTAAATAATAACTTAACTAAATAATTTTTCAAATAATAAAATGTATCTTGATACTTTTCTTCTTATATCCTACAAGAGTACTTGTTTACGTAAATATCTATTTACATTATCAATGTTTGAGATAGCATAAAAGAGAGTTCAGCGTACATGTGTATAGAAAATCTAGAAAAATATTTGTACCACATAAAATATTTCTACGAGAGAGACGGGTTTCATCGGCCATACGTATACAAGGGGACCGGAGTACGTCCGAAGAATCGGAAAGGGGCGATTTATCCTGCTCGCGATCCTCTCTTTCCGCGGGGACGGAGCACATTCGTTTATAATCTCCGAGACGACGACAGTGGGGCTCTCTGTGGATCGACGTGGAGGTCGGGAACAAAAAAATGCCGAAAAACACGCGTGGATAGACACGCGTAATGTTTGCGAGAGGAGGGCACGTTAGATGTCGACAAGACGACGGAAAGGTATAGCGCGGGTGGCTCTGAGGCGGTCGGGGTGCCAAAGGGGTGCCAAGGAGGGGGGGACGGTGGGCCTGATACCAGGGTCGAGGGAAAAGGTAAAGAAGAAACGGCAGGAAGATACTCCTTCGCCGTCCCCGCAGTTGTAATTTATTTAAAACCGCTCGCCGTAAATATATCCCTATCATTTATTCAGAGGAACGGCGAAGCTCCTGCCGGGGGTCGCGGATGGAGAGGAGAGGTGGTTGGGGGGAAAGCAGGGGGGGAGGGAGGGTGTAAGCTCTGCGTTCCTTCTTACCTTAGCCTCTACCTAGCTATCTTAAGAGCGACTAACTTCATGCTGGGGCGGATCCACGTTGCAAAGACATTGTGTCTCGTCGCTAGATCGCTCTTTTGTCTCTCAATTCTCTTAGAAGAGGTTGTTACGTAAGAATTGATTATGCCGTTGTTCTTGTTAGCTCAACGAAAAGCAGGTACTTTGTCTTGGAAATCGCGCCTATGTTCGACTGATAAAACGCAAGCTTCCGCATCGAAAGATCAACTCATTACCAGCTAAAATGGTGAAGGAATTAATATAGTCACACTAACGATTGCGCGATTGTGATTAGCGATTGGTAATTACTTTTCAACCAGTCACCGATTGCTTTGCTCTAACTGGTTGAAAATTAATCGTCAATTACCAATCACGCAATCGGTATAACATGACTACGGCTTAAAACAGTTTGTTATCCAATCAGCATAACTGATCACAATAATGTCAAACGTTATAATGAATTGTGATTGATAATATTACTAAAAATCATCTTTATAATAAATTATTTTAAAACCATTTTACGCCATTTTGATATTATGACGATTTTTTGTTGTTTTTCTGGCCATCTTATTGATTGAAATGTGTATTTAAAAAATTGTTAATTGCAATGTGTATTAACGATATCACATCTAATAATATATGCAGCTCAGAATCGTTTCCTGTCACTTTTATTACTCGTTTTAACTCCATGCTATATTCACTACCGGTGGAGCTGAGAGCGTTTAATGTTATTGAATTTTAAATAAAGATTTTAATGGAGTCTTATTACACGGAAAACGCGACCTCGTCTAGGTAATATCGTAGTTATCGACGTCATTACTTTTCTAGAAGCGATTATAGGATAAAAAACTAGATATACCTAGATAAGTAAAATGGAGCACATAAATATTAAATAAAATAACTAAAGTGATCACACGTGTATGTTCGAGTAACTAACAGACTGAAAATTTATACAGATGAAAAAGGCAGACAAAAGTAAAGGATACGGGATAGAAAAAAATATTTCAAATTACGAGGTACAAGGTTAACTTTTATTTTTTACTTTGTACTTTTTTTTAGAAGAGTAAAAGAATTTTAAAAAATTTGCAATATATATAGATAGTAAAAATACAACAGTATTTGTATATAAGAAAGATTTTTACTCAGAAGAAGCTTTATTTGTACAAAATAAACATTAATTAGCAATTTATTAACAATAAATACGTTTCCTAATATAAACAAAAAAGTCTTCGCAAAAATAATCGTGTTTATGATTTTAGAAGACAAACTTTTCAACAAATACTTTTTGTGCGTTTAAATAATTAAAATTTAAATATAATAATACAATTTTTCATTTTCACTTATTATTAAGACAGTATATTTTTATTATTTATATCATTTTAGATCAAATAATTTTGAGAAATATGTTTTATTTTTCATTAATAAATTATTAATTAATATTTATTATTAATGTTTATTTATTAAAAATAGGGTTTTAAGAAAGGTATCTGCTGTATGAATACTTTTTGCACTTACTGTATATATAATTTGTTTCTGCATTAATCGAATAATAAAAAAAATACGCACGCGAAAACAAGTAATTAATTAAGCCAAAATTCCATTTCATAAAGAAAAATGCGATTGGCACAACTTTAATTGTCTAAAAATCGCCTTCGAATTATTACTAAAAATTTCTACCTATAGTATTTTTTCTTTTTACAACGATTATTTTGTTCCAAAGGCGTGAGTGGATGTTAAGTCTTACGTCATCTTTGCGAGATAATCAGCGTCATTTCAGCCATTACCTTTCCATATACCGTAACTCGACGTCGTAACTCAGTGCCTAGTATACGCGTCGATAAGGGGGATGTACCGAGTCGCGCTTCGTCCATCACGCGAGCGGCGCGGCGTTCACGTATAGGTATGCATTTGCATGTGTGAGCGCGGCAAGTAAACGAGCGCGCACGTAGAGCAAGGCGCACGGTAGACTACGCGGCTAATTGCCGCTAATTATCGCGCTTACCGCGGTTCGGCTCTTCCTCTCGCCGCCATCCACCGCCGTCGCCGTCTCCGTCGCCCTCCGCGCGTCGCCGCGGTTTGTCGCCCCTTCCCGCCCTTTTCTCCCTTAAGCCCGATACAACCCCCCACCCCCGGGCAACCACCTGAAATCCGTTACTCTGGCCTGCCGACGAACTGCGTCTTTCCTACCCTCGCCGCCCACCCCACTAACGACCTAAATGCCGTGGGCTGTCTGCCCTAACTCCTACCCACCCCCACGCGTCCTCTCTACCAAACCCTTCCCACCTACTCTCGCTCCCGGTCTCGGCTTCGACTCGAGCACCGACTCGAGTTCGTTACATTAATTAAACAATATTTGCGATTAATATTTGAGATAATCATCAGCGCCTCAAAGCAGCCTCCGCTCCTCTCGGAGGATGCGGAACATCACGCGTGCTAATCGGATTAGCGCTTGTGAAGCTGCGGCTCCTTCTCTCTCTCTCTCTCTCTCTCTCTCTCTCTCTCTCTCTCTCTCGCTCTACTTACCTATCTATCTATTTAGCTATCTATCTTTCTCCCTCTCTGCTCCATCCGTTCTAGGTTTCTGTCTTTCTCCTGTACCTCATTCGCGTCTGTATGTCTGTCTCTTGCTTTCGCTATACACTGATAGGTAGTTGGAATCGCGCGAAATTGCGACGTCCTTTTGGCGATAATCGCGCCAGTGCTTGAAATAGCGTTAATTCGCGGACGAGTTAAGGATCGTTTCCGGTGTGATGATTGAGATCTCAGTGCGCGACAATTGTGCTATTGCCATTAATTGAAAAAATTACGAATTAAGAGAAAGAAAAATTTAAAAAATAATTAATAGTCTTTTTAGTATATTATTTTGAAACAAAAAATTTATCATTTTAAATGTGGATATGAGATAGCTTTATCTCATCTTAAAAATTTAAATACTACACATTGTGTTTTTTAACAAAATGAACAAATCATGAGAAAATTTTTTCGCAAATTTTTTTATGTTGTACTTGAATATAATACATACGAAAAGTTTGGTAGCGATTTAGAACCTGGATAAAAAATTATTTCAATAAGAAATAGATGTTTAAAAGAAATAGTTTAAGTAAAATAAGAAAATTTTTATTTAAATTGTAAAATTATTATATATAACATTTTTTTATAGAAAATATCCAATTTTAGTAATTTTTATAGAAACTATCTTATATGTTCTTAAACTCTTTTATATAGGAATTTATCGAACCATTGTATTCTACATTTTTGCACTTTTGACGATAAAAGGAGAACGTAACAATCTTCAGCAAGAAGTAATTTCTATCCCCTTGCCAGTTTCACCCAGACAGAGATCCCAATAGGAGAGAAGCGCGTTCTACTCCAAACTAATTTTAATTAAAAAATTAAATTTATACTTTGTCATATGTTTTCAATTCTAATTTTATTCCCTATTCATATTAATTTTTTCCTCTTGTCAAACTTTCAGCACCACGGGGATAGGCGCAGGCTTCAGGCCGGTGGAACCACCAACATCCCTTTTCTTCTCGCCTCATCTGGCCGCTCAGTTCTCGCCACCGCTCTTCGGTAATAAAGTTGTCAGTAGCGCGTCGGCGTCGTTGACCTCGACGACGCCATCGTTATGGACCACCAGCGACCAGCATCGGCCGAGCAGCCTTCAAGAAATGTTATCTTGGTCGCCAACCGGCTGGCCCGGTTCTATCTGCGGCTGTTGCAAACCCGGCACCGCCGGTACCGGCACCACTGATCTCCATCGAAGTAACAGTTTGGCGGAGCTTCGAAGAAAAGCTCAGGAACACTCGACTGCCTCGGCTCTCCTCGGTGGTCTCGCCGGCTTCCCCGGAGGGCTACCCCTGCCTCTTCCTTTGCCGCTGCTGCCGCCCTTGTTGGGTCTCTCCAGGCGACCGGAGCACCATCATCACCACCACCTGCCCAGCGTGGTGCATCAGATACAACCCACTACCAAAGAAGATCCCTAGGATCGCCTCCCCGAATGCCGGAATCGTCTCATAAACGCAAGATTTAAATCTCAAAGGGATATTCTGCGCGTATCGGATGGTTGCAAAGTCGAAGCTAGACAGCGATATAACAATCTCGGTGAGTTCGGATCTCGATGCTATTTAGAAGCTGGAGAATGTTATATATGAAGAATGTTACAAATATAAAATGTTATAAAGAATATATAGAATGTTATACGTTCTGTATTCTTTCATATACGGAGACTTATTTTTCTAGCTCCTTTGAAGTAAATATTACCGAAACAAATAATCTTTTCTGTTAAATTTTATCTTGTAATTCACAGTCTTTTCCTTTGAGTCGTTGATTTCATTGAATTAAGAATTGTAAGTTTCCCGAAAGTTATACAGCAGCGTCGAAAATTGAACTCATCGATGTTATACCATCAATCTTTGTAAATGCTTTTCTCGTTATAATTACATATTAATCTTCCGGTATTTTTTTGAACGGAAAAAAGCTTTTCTGAGTTTCGACGTTGTGATAGTTCAAGCGAGTTTAAGGGTCTCAATTCCGGAAGACGACGAAGAATTAACGAACCGCAATGTCACAAGGTGGTAACTTTGGCTTGGTAAGGCGGCTCGCGCAAACCCTGCAAATTGTATTCATATTGTCTTCGATTGCGACTTGTTAAAGTAAACATGGCGCGAATCCTGTTAAGTAACTTGCGCAATCTTCGATAGAAAACTTATTTTAGCTCATCTAACACGTTGATTTTTACAAGAGAGAAGTTTCTGTTTGCAACAAATTTTACAATCAACTTCACATTTTTAGCTTATTTACGTAAGAGAGGATCGGTTTTATAAAAAGTTCCGTAAAGTATAAAACACTGTTTAATTTGCATTTTTTTTTTCACTTTAAAAGTTGCCAATTATTTATTATTATTTTCGATGTTTCCCGGCTCTCTATCGTTTCGGATTTTGATAAAAATGGGAAACAAACAAGATACCATTAATACTCATTGCATATGCAATAAACCGTTGAATAATGGAACGCTATCAATTTGCAGATTACTTTGTTATATCCGCGAGCAATGTAAATAGGGGAGGTGCATTACAATAATCTTCTGTATAGTATTCTCAGACACATAAACCGTTTTCTCACATATGTAATCAGCAATAGCGTCTAAATCTTGATATTATGCAGAATTTATATTTTATTTATTGCCTTAAAGGGATGCTGGAGTGACGGTCGACTTGATCGATATGGATATTACAGATTTTTTTAACTTCAAATAAACGGAGTCAATAATAGTGACATCTTTAGTTCATTTCTTATATTATCGCTCTGTCTCGTTCAAACGCATACACCTGTCCTCGTTTAACATATTGCAACGCCATCTCTTGCAAGAGCGAGCAATTACTGCAAGACACAATTACCGCTTTGTTTACCATTCCGAGTCTTTGCTCAGTATTTGTATATACCTATATTTGCAGAAATATAAATTTTTTTTTTTATTGTCGAGCCTTCTCTCAATATTATTAATTTTAATCTTAATTTCATAAATTCAGTATTGCTTGTGCACATAAAACACTGGATGCTGAACCGTACGAACTATAAAACTTTTGTATTAAGAAATCATCTAAGTCGGGTGACAACTCTGCGAGTTGAAAAAAATGTAAGTTTTTAACTTTTTTCCAATTTTAGTATAAAGTCCACTGCAGTACTTTTCAATTTTGCGTCTACCTTAATTCTGTAAAAGAATTTTTGATTCCGTTCAGTAAATTTGAAGAATTTTATCGATCCGCAATTTGGTCACTCCAGCATCCCCTTAACTCGCGACCTCCAGACACGTTTGTATCGCCACTATTCACTATTTACAACGTATGAGTAAACCATTAAGTTCCATGTGTATCGTAAAATATTTGGCAAATTCGTTAATCACGGCGAAAAGTATTTAAGAGAAATTTTGCGAGAATGGGATTTCGGACTGACTTTTTGAATTTGGAATGTCAATACGTCGCGATATACATACACGTTTGTATTGTACATACATAATGAGAATAAATGCGGTGAGAACGGGAACGAGAACGACGCGCGATCGCGTCGAGGCATGCGGAGATGTATAGCAAAGTGTGTTTATAAATGGTTTCGTTTCCTTCCACGCGAGTAAGAAGACGCGACGGACCAACACGTGCCTGATGCGCTGTATATTCAATTGCTCGATACGCTCGACCAGTCGATTCGTTCAAACCACGCGGACAGGCTCGAGTGTGCATTCATCATAAAATTCCTACGAGCGGGAATCGAAATCAATATAATCTCGGTTCAGTTTTTCGATACCGATGTCAGAAGAAGAGGGAAAAATGTCGGATGTTTCGGATATTCCTCCAATTAAATTGATCTCACGGAGATTATATGGGTTTTAATCCCCGGCCACAGACATTAAAGCGAAGAAAACTCGTTTCGAGTTGGCTACTACTCTTATATGCCTTAAAAATCGTCGATTGACCGGCAGTATTAACCGGATTTCAAATCTTTGCTACGTTTGCGAGTACCGTGATTCATCAAATAAAATCCGTCATTTTGGCGCAAAACTAGAGAGAGGGAGAGAGAGAGAGAAAGAAGGCGAAATTACTGCACGGATTTCGTTTGATAATTACGACGAGATAATTTCGACGAGATAACGATAATTCCATTTATGTCGTAATCCCTCTGAATTTTTCGCGAAGCGAAAGGCGTAGAAGCTAAACGGGCGTAGTTGTTTGTAGAGACCTGTATATTACCTCCCGATAAATAGTCAGTGCTAATCAAAGATAGTCTAATGGAAGGTATAGCGTAAGGTAGCGATTAACTGTGTAGTCAGAACTGTGGTAGCGATAATAAACTTGTTCTCTCATGTGATGAATCCTGGTGTGTATAAATCATTCATTCGCATAAATTATCTTGCAACTGTTCCCTCATATATACGCGGCTTCCCTCATATATCGCGCAAGTATTCGAATTTAGTTATCCCGCATTTCGTTCCACCGTCCGATTTTCCCGTCCCAAAAATTCCGATTCCGTAACTTTATTTTACTCGTGGCGGCACGTTACCGTGAGATTGCATATCGCCGGATATCGCCCCGCGATTCGATCTCGGTGCAATAAGTTCTCCATCCTCGTGTCCGCATCAAGGAACGCTCCTTCGATCCCATATAGACAAAATAATTGTGCCATAACTGAGAACAAGCGAGGATCGACTCGCCGAGTAGAACCCGCGGTATAAAAACACAGGAGGAGCTAGTATAGGAGAAATAATGCAAGAGAGAGAGAAGAAGAGAGAAAAGACGCGGTCTCACGCGCGGAAGTAGAATCGCAGTAGAAGAGCGAGAGAAAGTAAAGGGTCGCGAGTCGGCGAAGGCAAGGGCCGAAGGGAGGAGGACGTGGGAGGGGGGGTGGCAGGATCAACCCTCCTCGAGGGTACACGCCGAGTCTTCTCGCGCGGGGTAAAAAGAAAGGAGAGAAAGAGCACGCACGGAGGGGTAGGCGTATAGAAGAAGGTGGAGGATGAGGAAGGACGAGAGAGGGTGGCGGCGCGCGGGAGGGCGAAACGGAGAAGCGAGCGAGGGGGTTGTTCCCGGCTCGACCAACCAGCGGCAAGACGCCATTGATCGGCACGTGGCTCCCGGTTGGTGCAACGAATTTCGTCGGGGGTGGAAGGGAGGCAGAGCTCCTCTGCCTCCGTCGGCAGCGGTGGCGGCGGCGGCGGCGGCTGCGGCGGCGGCGGCGGTGGTGGTGGCGAAGGAGACGGAGGTGGTGGATAGAAAGAGGAAAGCCGGCCCTGGTGGAAGACGGCAGAGAGGAGGACGGGGGTGGGGGTAGAAGGGTGGCGGACGCGCGTGTTCTGCACACTCCGTTACACTTACTGGTAAACCGTATTAATCAACGACATCATGGTTTATCCCCCATTCCTCTCCGCCTCCGCGCATCTACCTTCCTTAACCTCCTCTTCCCACTTCCTCCCGCTCTCCCTTCTCTCGCTTCATCCTCACTTCCACCCCCTTCCTTATCCACCTTCACCACCATCTCCGCGGACTCCATCGCGATCTATAGCCAACGCGCACCGACATAGTCTTACAGCACCCTCTTGCCCAGTGTAGCGGGAGATAGAAAGACGGCGGATGAGAGAGGAAGGGCGAGGGAGGACGAGGGAGAGGGTGAATCAAGGCGCCGGGCCACTTTGGGAGAGGCGATCGACGCTTAACGATGTCTCTCGATACCCATTACGCGGCTAGCCGGGATTCAACGAGTCGGTACCGCGTCGTTCTCGCGTCATTGTGTGCATCAGCGAACGGACTGGCGTTCGCAGAAAAATCCGATTGATCCTTCATATCCTACCCTCGATACGAGTTCCTTCCTCGTAACTCGTCGGAACGGGATGGGCGGATTTTGCGGATACTCTGTCTTTCCATCCCCCGCATCGCCGCTTAGTGGTCCTTTACAATTCAGACAACGCGCGCGGAGTATCTCTTTTACGGCGAACACGATCTTCGCGGCCATGCGAATAAAATAGCTGTTGACACGAGAGACGGTTCCTACAAAGATTCGATGTGATACTTTATCGAGGAAGGAAAGCGAATAAAATTGAATTCTTACGTGTGCAAGGATATATCAACCAAACGGTTATACGTATCATTTAAAAAATATTTGAAAAAAAAAACGGATTTAATACAGAAACAAGAAAGGAGAAAGAGCTTCTATTTACATAAACATCAAAAATTATGAAATTGTTAATTAGGAAGATCGACATCGTAAATAAGATTCCGTTACTTCGCGTAATCTTAAAATTGAATTTGCACACATAATTTCTCAGACCTCAATATAAAATGAGACTATACAGTTAAGCATTCAATGCAACATGTTAAAAATAAGTAAATATTAATATGACTCATAACATGACGAACAAAATGAAATTCTAGATGTTGCAAGATGTCGAATAATTTATTAATATGTCAATTTTTAACTAACAAAGATGGTAAGAGTA